AAAAAGAAAAAGAAAAAGAAAGAAAGCAAAAGACTGGGATTTAGTTCAGTGTAAAGGTTCCAAGTGCAATACCTAGTGCTGAGGGAAAAAAAAGGTAGGGTTCAGGGTAGAAAAATGCAGTGAATAAACACTGTACCATATGGACCTATATGGAAATACCACAGTAAATCCCATTTTGTGCAATTAAATGGGTCAATAATTTTAGTAAAATAAAAGAACAAAAGCACCTGTACAGCATGGTAGCACATACCAGTAGCCCCCAGCCACTGGGAGGGCTGACACCAGAGGACCACTTGAGATCCACTGTGAGACCCTGTTCCCAAAGGTGGAGTGACACCTAAGACTTGAGAGCCTGTTACAATGCCCACAAGTCCTTTAAATACCATCAGACCAATGAGGGCTGCTCCCACACCCCATCCCCTGCAGCCACATAGGTCTCCTTGAAATCGAGAGCTTTACCAACCCCCCTTGCCTTTACGCATGCGCCACTGTCCAGCATGCACTTCCTTTCCTCATCTCCTCTAGCGAACTCCTACCCAATCCCTGAAGATCCCCCTTAGGAGGCGCTTACTCCCGGGGTTGCCTCATGAGGAGCGCTGTGTCTGTGCTCCCAGCCATCTCTGGAATCTGAGCTTCCAGGAGGCAGCTTCCTCAGTGTCTCTGCTACAGCCTTAGACACAACCTGGCATGTGGAGAGTCACTGCAACCACCCCAGTGCAGCAGCAGGCATTGCCAAGTTGCAGGCACAGCGTAGATCGTAGATACTCACTAGGAGCAAAGACCTGGGCCCAGAGCCAGACTGGCACAAGCAAATGAGCAAGCAGGTCTCCTCCAGGGTCCAAAGCCTCATCTGGGGCAGTGTCAGGAAGTGAATGTCTAGGCGGTAAGGTCAGGGGCAATGCAGGGAGGGACAAGGAAGGGACTGTCGGGAGCTGGCTTCAGATGATGCTCTGAGAGCCCCACAGAGGGGACAGCAGGTGGTTCCACCTAGGCCAGGGGTGAGCATCACTCTGGGAGAATACTACACCACCTTGCCATAAGGGAAAGGAGTCTGGAGAGGGAAAAATCCCGTCAGGCGCCTACTGCCTGGGGTTCACAGAGCTGCGGGGTGCACAGCGGGAGGTGAGCGTCCCAGTAAGATGAGGGAGGATACCGTGCCCGGCACGGGTCAGCTCTGCACTGGGTTAGGGGTCCAGAGCCAAGGGCAGCGGTTACCTTTGCAGTCTGCGCCGCCCAGCCCGAGTCCGAGGCTGCCCAGGATGGTCTCGGACTGGCCCTCGCTGTAGATGAAGGCCGTGTCTATCTCGGTGTGGCCGCGCTCCAGGAAGGCTCGAACGCACTTGGCGCTGGACGAAGCGTCCATGCGGCGCCCCATCTCCATGGCGCCCAGCACTGTGGAGGGCCGGGCCTGCTGCAGCAGAGAGGACATGACGGCGGCGGCGGTGGCAGGAGACGGGAGGCACAGAAGTGACCCGCGGGAAAGGTCTGCAGCGGTGCCTGAGCAGCGCCCAGTCCCTTAAGAGGCCTTGGCCACGCCCACGGGAGGCGGGGCCATGTGGGGCGGGGCCATAAGGGAAGTGGGCGGAGAACAGGCGCTGGGGAGGGGAGCCGGTGCTGGCTGGGTTGCTGGCAGGCATGCACGTGGAGCTGGTGCCAGGCCCTGGCTGCCAACACGTGATCCGGGCCTTGGTTCCAAGCCCAGGCAAGTGAGTCGTATCCGAGGGCTGGCAGTCCTTGGGCCTCCCTGCCTCGCCGCCGCCCCACTCCTCAGCCTGCCTTTGAGCTGTCCCAAGGTCTCTGCCTCCAGCTTGGGGAGATCGGTATGTGGGTGACCCTTGGCCTACTGGACGTTGTGCAGTGCCAGAGGAAAGGGTGTAAAGTCTTTTACGATGCGCAATACTTGCAAATATTATTTAGACAGAAGGAAATTTATATTTACTCACATAAAAAGTGAAGAGTGCTGGAAACAGTCAACACGTGGATATAGTATATAAAGGGTTTTTTCTCATTTTTAACTCTTGAAGAAACGTTGAGGGTTAGGAGTGTGTTTCAGTGATGTAGAACCCTTGCCTACTATGGGTGAGGCCTGGGTTCCACGCCAGCCCCACGCACCCTGAGCAAAAATAAGATAACTTAGCTGGTAAAAAGTTAATTGCACACCTGTCACTGTGACTCAGCAATCTCAGTCCTAGGTATTTACCCAAGGGAAGTGA